GGGGGGGGGGGGGGGGGTATGGGAGGGCGCCCGGGCGCGAGGCACGCTAGATCCGCAGGCCTGCGGCGCACCTGTGAGGGTGGAGTACCACGCCGCGCGCGTGTGCGCACGCGCGTGCGCGCTCCGTAGGGCTGGGCGGAAAGCGTGCCGCCGGCCAGCGGGTGTAAAAAAAAGGCCGATCCCCCAGCACCGGGCGGGGCGGGGATCTCCCGGGGCCCCGGCTGCCGGAAGCCACTTGCTTGTGGGCGGACCAGCACCTGCCCGGCGGCCGCGGGCCTGCACTAGCCGGCGAGCGGCGAGGGGGGGGGGGGGGGGCCGCGGCCACCGGCCGAGAAACCCGGGTAAGTTGATCGCGCAGGGCCGGCCGGCGGCGCCGATCCGGGCGGGCATATGGATTGTGAGAACTGGCGCAACCCGGCGGGGAAAGATCGCCAGGTGCTGATCGTGTGCGCGCGCGCGCGCGCACCAGCGAGCGAGCGAGCGAGACCAGAGCGCACGCACCCTGGAGACGCGCGCGCGCTCGCCCGCAGATCGGCCCGCTCGGCCCTCCGTCGCCGGCGGGAGAGCAGGGGCCGGGAGGGGGGGGGGGGGCAGGGGGGCGCGTTCGGGCATTCGATGGGGCTTTGGCGCGGCCGCCGACGCGCGCGCGGCTGTTTGCCATCGAGTCCTCTCAGTTGGGAACTGCCGGGCTGCACGCCCCCTGCTGGCGTGTACATGCGCGTGTGCACGCGTGTGTGCGTGCGCGCACCGGGATCTCGCGCCAGGCTAGAGCGACGATGACTGCCTCCCGGCCGGGAGCAGGGTGCCTCCGGTCCCGGCGGCTGCGGGCCCGGGTGCCGCTGGCGGCGAAGGCCCGCGGGGAGCGCGCGACGCCCCGCTCCGCGGCAGGGCCCCGGGTATGGCGGCCCGCTGCCCGGCCTGGATATGGACGCGAGGCAACCCGGCAGCTGGGCGCACATTCCCGGGAGGTTCTCCCCAGCGCCGCCCTGGGCCCGGGGCCGGGCAACGCCGGGCGGCCGGAGAGGGGACCGCTTCTATCCCCCCCCCCCCCCCCCCCCCCCCCCCCCCCCCCCCCCCCCCCCCCC